AAAACATTAACACTGTCTTAACTTTGGTTGAGTGATTCAGTACAAACCTCAGTAATATTTAGTGAAGTAATGTTGTCAGTATTATCATTATTAATATTATATTGTCTGATGTAGTGTTGTGAGGAAGAACATTAGTAGCTGCAATTCCTCTCCGCCTTGTCTAAGTTGCATCATGTTGATTACATTATTTTGAACTTGCAGTTTTCACAGTGAAAGTCCAGCTCAGAATCGGCCACAACCATGAATCCTCTCTTAATCATAAACCGCATAACCTGACAGCGTCGAGCTCTGCCAGCTGAGCTAAACGGCACAGGAGCAACTCTTATCGATCTGTCCCATTTGTTTTTTATTTGCATTCGTGTGTTTGAGGTAAACATGTGGAGAGAGGGCGGCTCAGTGCGTGTTGGTGTGTTACTTCTGTTTTTCCTCGTGTCATAGGTGGAGACCACGCCCAGCCAGTTTGCAGACCCCAGTGTTTACTTGTGGAACATCTCCAACAACGGGGAGCTGATGAGGCTGGAGGGCCTCAGTGCACCACCAGTACGCCGAAGCGCACACTGTGCTGATTACGCCACCATCCAACAGCAGGTAGCTTCTCCTACCGGTCAAACGGTTAAAACACTGGGAAAAAAGAGGTCGAAGAAAAGAACACTTCTGTAATGAAAAGTATATTTTACAGATACCGAAATGCAAAATAAATAGATGAATAAAAATCACTTTGCAGCAAAAAAAAATTCTTAGTAATCCTTAATAATTAGTAAAAAAAATGTTTAAAGTAACATTTCTGTCACTTGGGGTACATATTTGTAAAATAATAAAGTAACCAGCAGTGTGCAGGATCTTCTGGTTGTTTCAGTCACTTTTTTTGATCTCACTCTGATGAATTGTGCTAGAATTTGTACTTTCTAGGTGCAAATTGTAGGAGTTCAACAACTGATTTGCAGGAAAGTTGAATGTAACATACTCGTATTGGGTATTGCCTCAGCACCAGACTTTTGCATTAAAAAGTCCAGTTTTTCGATAGATTTGTGCTGTTTCTCCAGCTGTGTGAAAGTTAACGTTGTGCCACAAGTTAATCCTCCTCCCTCTCTTCAGGTGGATGAAATCCGGCAGGTCGGGGTAAACCACTTCCACTTCTCCCTCAACTGGTCGGCCGTGGTGCCGACAGGTGACGTGGCTCATCCCAACGCCACCCTGCTGGGCTACTACCGCTGCTTCACCCGTCAGCTGCTGCAGGCCAACGTCACGCCCGTGGTCACTCTGTGGCACCACACGCGCCTGCGCAGCAGCCTGCCGGCCCTGCTGGATACCGCCAACAAGTGGCTGAACAGGTCAGATGCACTGCTGATTCTTATCCAGTGTCTCATTTTCATTTTCAGATTATTTACGGGGAAGTTGAGCAAGCGTCATGAAAATCTGTTCCCAACACAGAACTGATGAACACCCATCTTTATCAGATAGGGTGTATTACAATTTACCGACTGGTCAAATGTAAACATGCAATGATGTTCCCAGGAACAGTCTGTCCTTGGTGCCATCAACATGAAACCGCTATAACTTGCTGCCATGGTATCATCTTTCCCTTTCCTGTAATAAAGAGATATCACTAAAACCAGTGATTACAATATTTATATAACGGAACAATCTAATGTGTTGGCATTTTCATCTGTATTGGCACAACGTTTAATGTGAGATTGTAACAGATCTCCTGTGATTCATCGAGACTATTCATTTATTTGCATGTGTGAGCTTATCATTGTTTTTTAATACATTGTTTTGTTATATTCTGATTGCTTTATATGCCAATTTCATGGTAAAATGAAAACCACCATGTGGTATGAATGCACACATGGCGCGTAATTAAAATTGTACGACTTAATCTTTTGTTTCTCAGAGAGACTCCAGAGGCGTTCGCAGACTACGCCAGGCTTTGTTACAGAGAACTTGGCGCCCATGTGAAGATGTGGATCACCCTGAATGAGCCCAACGATGAGATGGTGAGCTACCAGGAGGGTCACCAGATGCTGCGGGCGCACGCTCTGGCCTGGCGCGTTTATGACCGCGAGTTCAGACGCGCGCAGGGAGGAAAGGTCAGTGGAGGAATGTATTTATTATATATACATGAATACTTTTATCCTACCGGTATGTTGTTTTATGATATGTAAGTATTCAAATAGTCATCTTTTGTCAGTACAGCAATATCTTTTTAATGGATCTTCTTTCTTTTTTTGGCGTCCTTGTGCGTAAGAGGACTTGACAATGTGTTTTAAAGTAAATGTAAAAGCTTTCATGAATCACTTCGGTCAATAGGAGAATGAAAACGTCACACCTGTGCCGTCATGTTTTGTGTTGTGTCTCAGGTGTCTCTGGCTCTGCACATGGACTGGGTGGAACCGGCATTTTCCTTCAGCCGCGAAGACGTGGAACCAGCTAAAAGGGTCTTAGACTTCCGTGTCGGCTGGTTTGCTGAGCCGATCTTCGGCAGCGGGGAGTATCCTCTGGGAATGAGGAGCTGGCTGTGGCAGCTCAACTCTCTAGAGTACGAATACTTCATTCATACTTCAATACTGTCACTTTGTTGGCTGTAGAATGTTAAGAGATCACATAGGCTCTGTAATTCAATGTGTTGCAACAGGATTTAAGGGTTGGAGTTAAACTGGGATTATTCAAAGATGTAATTTGGTGGGATTTTAGTATCATTGAGCCAGATGTTGTCGTAGTTAGTATATCATTAATGACAAAATCTATAACTACCACTTGTACTTCAGAAATGTGTCTCCTCTGTGAAATGACGTCTTCTCTGTGTGTGCTTCCTCAGCCTGCCAGTGTTCAACGAGGAGGACAGACAGCTGGTTAAAGGGACGTATGACTTCTTTGCCATCAGTCACTTCAGCACCAAGCTGGTGACACACGCCATGGAAGACTCGTAAGATAAAGTCACCTTTTTGCCCTTATTTTGATAGTGACAGATGACATACAAGCAGGAAACAAGAGGGGCGGAGAGAGAGGTTTGCAATTTTAAAAAGCTACTACGCCACTGAACGCCACTTTATGGTGTTTAGTTGAAGACGAATATTTAGCCCCGATGTAGTGATACACCCAGCATCTCAAAGGCATTAGATATTAATGAGAATGTGATTTTGTCTTCAGCTTCTGTGTCATGTCCATGTGTGCAGGTACACCTACACAGCAATGCTGGAGGTCCAGCACATGATAGACACCACATGGATCATGTCCCCGAGGCCTGTTGTGCCCTGGGGTCTGAGGAAAGCCCTCAACTGGGTGAGACTGGTCTTGTGAAGAGATAAAAAGTTGAATATATTGCTAATTGACCCTATTTTTCTATACTTAAACCAGTAGTTGGCAAGTAGACAGGGACATCACAGATGCCTTCTTGTGTCCAGCAGTTAAAGCTTTGATGTTCAGGATAGTTGAATATTAATAGATTCTGGATTTTTCAATGAGGGATGCAACTTTAATCATTTTTAACCAAGTTATTGTTTTCTTTGTGGAAAAGAAATATGTAACTTCATATTAGTATTTTCAGACTCTTCCTATTCTACTCGAAGTGTTTTCATACCAAGTGGAGGAAAAGTTAACTGTTGTTTCGATGTGTTAAACTTAAAAACTGACGTTGCTCTTCTGCCGTGTCAGGTGAGGGAGCACTACCGTGACGTACCCGTCTATGTGATGGCTAACGGGGTACAGGAAGACCCGGCCCGCTTCAAAGACAGCCTCAGAGTCTACTACCTGTACAACTACATCAACGAGGCGCTGAAAGGTGAGACTGCAGACACACACATCTAGCTGTTGAGATTTTATTGGATCAATGCAAAACTGCTGAATATTATAACCACTGCGTTTGTGTACTGAGTGTTGAATCCTTTAGCGGCGATTGAAGTTTTTCCCCCTTTACTGGCCTCAGCGGAGCTTAATTATTAGACAGGTATTTAGGTCACTGACCCCTGAACAGTCAGCTGACTCAGAACAGACACAAATATCAACAGAGATACTCTCTTCACTTGAATTGTGGAGTCAAGGTCACTCGCTATCCAATCAGCTGTCCTTGCAAAGTTTATTGGGTTAAACTCAGTGAAGACTGGCAGTGTCATGATGTGCACATCGTATCATGTTATTGTGTTTTAGTGTGCTCTCCAGCCACTAGGGGGCAACCACCCACAGAAAACAGTTAGTATACATCACTTAGTATATATATTACTTACTTCCTATTTATTTATTTTTTTAAAGTGGCATAAATTGGGTTTATAATAAACGAAAACTCAGACGAGATGTTCCTTATTAACATCATTAGTTACTTTTTACAGCTAAAAACAAAACTCTAAGCAGGGGCTTTGTGTTTTATCTTCATTTTTTGGTAACAATTTATTTCAACCCTCCATATTATAATATTTATAAGCAGAATGGAAGAATTATAAATATGTATTGATGTAGCTGTCGACAATATATTAAATATGTCTGCATAGGAGAAGTTATAACTGTTGAAAATACAGTAATTATTAAATACTTGTCCTTAGATCAGTTTATATGCTACCGATAGTCAATAAATGAGGGGTTAAATGTAAAGGTTTTTTTCCTGCAAAACACATTCAGCTCGCCTCCACATACAAGTAACTGAGAATGAATCCTCTCCTCCTCAGCGTACACTCTGGACGGCGTGAACCTGAAGGGTTACTTTGCTTACGCCCTGAGTGACCAAAGGGACCCGGGCTTTGGCCTGTACGGCCACGTTCACGACGAGGTCATCGTCAAGGCCTCTCTCTCCAACTATCGCAACATCATCCAGCACAACGGCTTCCCCATTCCAGGAGCTGCGCCCCAGCAGTGTCCCAGCATGCCTCAGCCCTGCCTGGGCTGCCATGTGCTGGTCAAGAGGCCTGTGATGGGCTTCCTGACTCTGGTGGGTTCAGGGGTGCTGATCACCCTGGGCCTCATTATCTACTACACAGCCAAGAGACACAAAGACTGTTACTGATGACTGTTGGATTTTTGTTCTTTTTTTTATAAAAAAACTGAGCTGATACTGGGAAACATCAGACAGTAATGTAGGCACTGTCATGTTATAAAATAGCCAACAATAAGTGTTTTAGTGCAGATTATTTCATGTTTGTTCATAATAATAAAAACAACTTCTGGTCATTTCCAGAGAACATCACCAGACCTTTTGTTTTTAATAAACAAAGCAATTTATTGTTATGTTCTGATGCAGATTTGTAGGGAAACATCTCATCGTTAGTCTTTTTTTATACAAAGAATTGCTACCATCACAACTGTTATTTTACTCCACTAGAGTGACCGTTCAAGGTTTACAAACTATGTGCAGTGCTGAGCTTTTGGGCAAAAAGCCACAAACTGTGAGACCGACTTGTTTTTGGGGTGAGTTATGTTAATGTCGCCACCATGCCTCACAGAATACAAATCTGTATCAAGTCCACTGGAAGTCTTGTCGGGTGCAAACAAAAAAACAAGATGTTGAACTCCAAGAAAAGTATCCGTATGCTCTTCAGAGTCAAAACATCATCCCATCCAGACCGTCCTCCATGAACTTCTTGTAGATTGCCATGAACTTGGCGGTGAAGGCCTCCAGGTGGTAGATGGCTTTGCTGCCCAGCTGCAGTCGGTGTTCGTAGTAGGCGGCCATGTGGGCCACCTCCGTCTTCAGCTGACCGTCGCAGTTACTCAGCAGCTCCGTTACCAGACCCTGTTAAGAGGATTGGAACGAGTGAAGTTAACACTCCTTAATCTTAAACATCATTGCAAACCGTTTCAACACTTTGACGGAGGATGATGTGAGCGGTACCTTCATAATGATATCGGGAGGGATGCAGTGAGTCAGCAGCTCGTACAGCCTGGCGCGAACCTCTAACAACCTGGAACAGATAAAGGTTTCCAGCAGTGAAATATCTTCACTAATCCGATCACCTTTCCTTAGGTGCTGCATAACAAACTACACCTTTTTGCCTCTCCTACCTCTGAGGGCTCTGCTGGCTGACGATGGCGTTAGCGGTTTCTCGGAGGTAGACCTCCCAGTCCGTCTCCGGGACTTCTTGGTCCGCCGAGAACGGATACCTGGGAAAGACGAATGCAGTGTGAATAAGCGAATCGTTTCCATTCACATCCCATCGTAATCCAAGGATTATGCTGTGGAGGAAAGAGAGTACGTTTTGTGACAACTTACTGCTGCACTCTGCACGCCTCGCACATCAAAAGGGCTTTGCGGAGGTTGCGACCGGACTTCTGAGTGATTTGTTTGGCCAGCTCAGGTGGGAGGAGCAGACCCTCCTTTTTACAGATCGATGTCAAAACACTGCAGACCTGGCAGACAACAACAACAACACAGAGACAAGGGATAAAAAGGTGACATGTAGTCTTGATCGAGACTTATGCAGCACTCGTTACTCGATTACTAAAGACAATCTTAAGCACCTTACCTCTTCTGTGCTAGGCAGAGGAACTCTGATAGCCAGACAACGGCTCTGAATCGGCCCGATGACTTTAGAGGTGGAGGTGGAGCAGAGGATGAGGCGGCAGGTGGACATGTACTTTTCCATTGTTCGCCGCAAAGCATGCTGGGCATCCTTCGTGAGTCTGTCCACCTCCGTAAGCAACACCACTGAAAACAAATGTGCCAGTTAGTTGATGGAGGGACGTGATCCTCTTGATTTTTGAGACCGTTCTAGAACATGGACCAGCATTCACAAGTTCATGTGGTATTCCGACCTTTGAACTCTCTCTGGGTGCTTGACTGGATCTGCTGCGACTGAGCCACAGTTTTAATCAGCTCTTGAATCACCACACGGTCCTGGTTTCCAGCATCACTGTTAGAAACAGAACAGAAATTACATTTTTTCTCTTGTCTGCCACAGCACACATATCTTCTCTGTAAATCACTTGAGGCAGTCTCACTGAGCCAGACAGCGGCCCGCTAAACAACACAAAAGCCACAAACTTTGAACAAGAACCGACATTATCGTTCCTGCTAAAGTCTCTTTCCCACCCGACTCGTAAAAAATCAACACGCGTCGTGTCCTGCACCTCAGTTTGAATGAGTGACCAAACAAACCATTCACAGGGGAAAAGTGCACCACTAACAGAAGTCTGTAAATAGCGAATAATAACTCAACCATGAAGACCTATTAATAAATGTTAATCCGCAATGTAACCAACAACTACAGCTGTAAAATAAATGCATTAGAGTAACGTGAAGTGAAATTCTCTCGTGCAAATGCCTCCAAACTGTGATGAAGTGCAGTACTATAAATATACATAGCTCCTTAGTCATCATTAGGTTACCTTGCATTGACTTCCAAGTGATAGTTGCTGGCTATTATGTTAATCTCTATTTTCTTCTTTGAGGGAGCCTGAGGACGAAAAAAAACAAAAACACAAACAGGCTCGCAAGTAAGCCTTCATCAGACAATTTGACAGTGTCCTCATGAAGACGGAGAGGTGTCCGGAGTAACTGCATGCTAGTAGTGCATCATGTCCCCTCTCACCACGATGGTCTGGTGCTCTATGCGGAGCTTCTCCACCCCGGCTCCATACAGCTCCCTCAGCAGACACATGATGCGGGTCTTCTTCCCTGCGCCCGATGGCCCATACACCAGCAAGTGGGGGAAGTCGCCACATTGAACCTGAAACAAAAACATTACAAATTAAGAGTTTTTGCTTTTTAGATATACTTTTGAATTGCCTTGATAGACACTTGGTCATGTTAGATGACTTGCTGTATACGCTACAATAAATCAAACATTTCCCAAACAGAAGGGCATTGTGAGGTGAATCAGCTGATATATTAAGCATCCCACGTTACCTCAAAAACAACTCTGATATGATGACACATCATCATTAACCTGCTAGTTTAACTCAGGTTGTCCTCCACACTATATTTAACGTTAACCTGACTCCTAAATGGCCGGGTTAACAACGACGAATCGTGTATCTGGGTGAAGTAAACTAAATTAATTGACAGCCTATATGCTGCTGTTGAGTATGATGCTAACGCTAACGTAGCCTGATTACAGTTAGCATAGCATGCAGGTTGTTTCTCTTACCAGGTTTTTCAGCTGAGTCGCTTGCTCTTTATGATAGTCGAGTTTCCCGAGGGCAGTCGGTCGATATTTGTCCACCCACAAACTCATTGTGTAATTAATTTAGTAACTGTAATCGTGCGTGTTGACAGCAGACAGCTTGGATCTAGCTGGTCTAACTCTCCCGCGAAATAGTATTCATAAGCAACCAGTAAGTTACCCGCGCTGCTACTTCCTCTTGTGCTACGGAGAATCGAAGGGGTCAAAAAGGCTACAGGCGAGTGGTATTAGCAATAGGCTGTTATTAACAGTTTTTAATAGAATTACATATTGTAAATATTGTTTTTATACAGAACTTGACCGTAGCCAGCTATCATTAATTAATGTATGTATCTATTTATTTATGTTTGTAATGTATTAATAAATGTATCTATGTTTTACAGACTTATTGAATGAATGTGACATGTCCTATCACGTTCACCGGAACTTTGCTCTTAATTTGAAGTCATTTCTTAGACGCTACTACCGTAATACCTTGTATATGCGTACCGCAAAACAACTTTTGGGCTGGTTTGACTGCGTTTTTCGAAGTGGAGGCTGGCTTGACCGCAGTTCTAATATTTAGTTATTAGATATTTCTAAGTACAAATGTAGGATTTTTAATTTGCATAATCTCATGTCAAAATGTCTCACGTTAATCTGTCCGTTAACTTTGCAAAGTCCTTCGCTCGCTCCCGATCTGTGCCGTTTGAATGCGTTTACCGTGAATTTTTCAGCATATAGGCGCACTAAAATTTAAGTGTCTGCTGAGTTGACCAGGGAGGAGTGTCTGCTAATTTGACCGCAGTACATCATGTTGCCCTTAGACATGTCAAGTACATTGCACATTAAACTAAATTAATGAATGAAGAAGTATACATTTTATAAATGATAACTTTAAACACAATAATAATTACTGCATGCAAACTGTATTTCAAGGAAAAATATAATTCCAATTGTGTTTATTCAAATATATTAATAAAGAATACATTTACACAGAACAGTATGACTGAAAAATGACTACACTACATCAAATTCAGAAACTTCAAGGTTACATTAAGTTACCTCAAATTTTAGATTAAAATTAAAAGGAAATTGTCAGGGGAATTTCAGATTAGATTTTAGAGGAAATGGTGCATAGTTACAAAATCATTTCACGTTAATAGCGGACCACCTCAAGGTGTCACTCAGAGAGAACCAGGACATTCTGATGTAGCATTTCAAAATTAAAGCCCTTCAAAATCTCATTCATGAGCTAACTTCAAATGACATCTTATTATGGAAACCGGATGTTGTCTCACACTAATCCCTCCGCTAACTTTGCAAAGTTGCTCTCGAGCTGTTCCGTTTGAATGCGTTTACCATGAATTTCAGCATATAGGTAAACTCAAATTAAATTGTCTGCTGAGTTGACCTCAGTCATGATGTCCATGATATTCCCAGAGTCACAGGCATTTTATTTTGCAGAGGTGGAAGAAGTAAAATATTTCCTTCTGAAATATAGTGGAGAAGCAGTATAAGATTAGGTAGCATAGAATGGAAATACTGAAGCACAGGTATGTCACAATGCTTCTTAGTTACATTCCACCACTGATCTTTTGTGATGATACGTGCCTCTCCAGCAGAACACCAAGAGATGACCTCCACCAGTGTCCTTCTTGACTTCTGTTGTTATGTTCAGGTGTAGATAGATTTGTGTGTGTATACCACACAGGACAGTCCTGGACAAGACATGTCTTGTTGGGAGAAATCAAAGTGGAGGACAAGGAGTTAAAAAGGGACCCAGCAGCAAATGTTTCACCTCGGGCCCACTAGCAGATTAATACGTCTCTTAAAGATAGCATCTTTTATTTTTTGCAGGTGTTTACAGTGAGGACAGTAAAGTTGAAATGATACCACCAAGGAATGTGAGAATTTAATTCCATTCAACAAAAACAAAAGCTTTTAATGTCACCGAAAGGTCATTCCAAGCCGTGATGAGAATGAGAGCAGGTAGTTTTTGGGGGAGTTCACTAAACGTGTTGCTTTATGTATGACACTTATGAAACGTCATTATTCTATGATCACCATCTGAAATGTGCATTCATTCATTTTTCCCTCCGCCACCAGGCAAGAAAAGTGCCCAAATATTAATTCCATGTTTTCTGTCATGCAGTGACAAAGTTGGAAAGCAGATTTTTTTTTCTTTGCTTATCTGACTTCATGCGTGTGAATGTTTGTTGTCAAAATTAAGTTTTGTTCCGTCTAATATTTTACACTGTACCTACAGTACACACTGCCAAGATAACACAGCTGCACGATTCACTGCAGGTTTTTCTGATAAAAGTTTTATGTGCTTTACCTCCGTGGAGTTGATTTATAGACGTCATAACATAAGGATGTAACCCTGTTATAGATACTCATTATCGTCTTCTGTCTTTTCTCTAATGTTTTATTGTATACTTTATCCTACCTCAGCTTTTTCTTCCCCCTGCTTTCCTTCAGCAGGTAAATATACCTTCCAATGCAGGAATGTTGTACATTTAGGAGCATGTCTCAGCAGGTCGGCGTAGCTTGCATTGAAATACATGTTTGAGTTAAATCAATTAGCATCCATCATCACAGCAATGTGGGACAGTGAAACATCTGGGACGGATGGTGGAAGTTTATCAAGTTCCTTCATGCAAGATAACGTATGATGCTCATTCATCAGTATCAATTGTACTCATGAATAAGTTTGCCTGATAGTTCAACGTGTGCTGATGCTCTATGGTCTTTTTTTTAAAGGTTCAGGTCACCCAAAAACACAGTGGAATTCCCAATGGCGCAATTGGTTTGTGGCCTTTTCGTTTAATAAATTCAACATAAAAAAGACTGCTGCAAACTTTCCATCGCTCCGCTCCTTTCTATTTGAATGAATGGCAGCCAGTATCTTTATACAAGCACTAGAACTCTGTGAATAACGTATTGTTATGTGATTGTGGGTGGAGAGACATTAGAATAACTTAACTCTTAAGCCTTAGTGCACCCTCTACCTCTACCATGACCAGATCTCTTCTCCCCCAGACCGAGGTCGAACAGGCCTCAACAGGCAGAATCGTCCTCAAGGTTAACGTACGAATAACAGGTTTGTACTCTTGACCTGCAAAACATAAAATGCAGTGTTTGCTGGCGTGCTTGAGGAATTTCACAGTTCATTGTCAGTTTTGTAAGGACCTTAAGTCCTTTCTTTTTAATCGAGGCTTAGAGCGTTGCTGTAGCTACAAAAAGTACAAACAGAGATTTCTAGAGAAGATAAGAACATGTTAAAAGCATTACCTCATGTGTTGCTGAGGAATGTGCTTCCAAGGTAAAAAAATCCGTTGCCTCGAGTCGTATTTTGCATCATTGGGTGAAAAGGAGGAATGGGGCGAGTGAAAAGCCCCGAGTCTTTTAATCAAAGTCTTATCTGTCTGATGTACGTGCAGCTATTTAATCTATTTCATCATTTCCACAACAGGACTTTACATTTCACTTGCTTTGAGTGCATCATTTATCCTTTTTCTCTCTTCCGCTTGCATAACATGCAAAATAACACACCCACACACACACACACACACACACACACACACACACACACACACACACACACACACTTGCACAGGTAGCACAAACACCTGCCTGTGGAACTCACTGTCTTCTTGCTGAGGTATTGTAGGAGGGGAGAGCATTCCTCAGCCCTTTCTTTCTTTCTCCTCCCCTCACAGCATTTCGTATCTTTTCAGAGGTAAACTCACTCTGTCTGTGTTATCGGCTTCGTGCAGCATGGCAGCGTTACCTTTGCCTCCGCTGGATACTTGTGTTGCCTTCAGACTGCTTCGCTGGAGGTGCTCTTCGATGACACAACTCATGCACAACAATATCTGGTATGTTGAAATATGAATTTGGTGTTTCTTTATAAAGCAGCCTACAGTTCCTAAAATGTCTTCAAGAAACAGATTACAGGTACAGATGCTCCATTAGGGTTAATATTGAGATTAAGATTAAGAATACAATAGCACTTATTGTATTCGTATTAGTTTGTTGCACTTATTGTATTCGTATTAGTTTGTTTCTGCACTGTACTTTTGCTCTGGTTTATGCTCTTAGATGCTTGTTTAAAAAAGGAGATGCACTTATGACTTCTGGTGACTATAGTTCTCTTGAATACCGATGTTGAATACACTTATTGTAAGTCGCTTTGGATAAAAGCATCTGCTAAATGACTGTAATGTAACGTAAGATACTTTTTTTTTCACAGACCAGTGGACACATTCTTTTAGAAAGTGTGCGGTAGGAAACTCATTTGTTTGTTTTACTTCATGCTGTCTGTGCTTTACAGTGATATCACTTGAACCTAATTTTAGGACCCTCCACTGTGTGTTTGAAAGACAAAGAAAACAAAGCCAGGCAAGGAAAGGGTGTGTTGGCCACATCCAAAAATATCCACCAGGAAAAAACAATGTGTTTGAGCACAGTGCATTTGTCAAAAGAAAAGTCTTCAGAGCTTTAGAGTGGTGCACTCTGGGGTTTTTATGAAGACAAACGTTGTTGACTTTGGCATAGGCCAGTCACATTTGTGATTATTTTGGCACAAAAAACTAGTATCTAGTACTAATAGAAGAGTATTCACAGAATCCAAATAGTGGGGAAGTCATTTTTGCTAAAAGGATTAAATCCAACTGCACCACGTCTTACTGAGATGATTGAATGATAAACTAAGCAGCAGTTGAGTCTGTAAGCAAATCCAGACATCCTCCATTTACAGAAACACATTTCACTGGATTATACATGCATTATATATGCATAATGTTTGCATGTTTTTTTGGGTTTGCATGTTTGCATTTACCCAAAGTTATATTCGGTGTCTCTTTCTTTCTCTCCATCTCTCTCCAGCTCAGGTATCAAAGGAATTTTCGGGGCCATCCGAATGTGGGCCAAAGTGTAAATATCATCCACTCACGCATGCTTTTAGCAGCTGTACGTTATATGACCGTTCACCCGGCTCTGTTTGAAAGAGCCTCCGTTGTACTGACTATAAAGGGCTCAACAGATGAGGACACGGTTCCCTAGTGATGCATGGAGGTCCAGCAGCTGCATTGCCATTTCAGCAACATATTTACCCCCAGGCTGTGGGGCTCCCATTGGGTGACCTGCAGGTTCAAGTTCCCCTCTTGACTCAAAGCTCCAACATGTCTGAACCCGTTCCTCTGCTACACTGTGCTCCGGGTCCTGTTGCCAGTCATGCTCAAAGATGGAAGGAGCTGAAGGTGGACATCAGCTCCCCCTGTAATACAACGAAGCCTGCCTTACAGCGGAATGGACACTGTGAACGCAGACAGAGTTCAGACATGGCTCCTGCAACAGGTCGCCACGTGGATAAATGCAGCTGCAACCATCTCCCAGCACCTGTGAACGCATCACAGGACTCTTCCTTGGATCTGCTAAGAATAGTAAAGCACAAGCCAAGTACCATTGTGTTCTGTGATAACGATTGTAGCACTGACAACCAGGTGATCTCTGAGGTTGGAGAGTCCTCTTCATCCACCACTGAGGAGGGAGAGGGCGACGATAACGAGGACGACGACTTTCCTCGGGCGTCACAATATCAGGAATTCCTGGTCAGTCGTCAGCGTAGAAACTTGAGCAGGAACAGGAAGTGCTCGAGGAAGAGACAGGAAGCACAGCCTAATGGCGCAGCATCTGGCAGCTGGCAAAAGCCCACCAACAAGGGAAAACCTGAGTTGACAGGTAGCCAGGAGGAAGAGGAAACACCGCAGAACAATGGACAACAGGTAAGAAAAACAAGACAGGAGCAGAGTGATAACAAAGACTAAGAAGTCTCATTCACTGTGAAGAGTTGCCTTTCAAAGCAATTCAGTTGCTGTATGTGTTGCATTGCACTGCAGATGGGCCTTTAGACTTCTCATAGTAGGAGAAGCACTCATGACATTAACAACGGCTCTGCTCTATTTAAGTGTCTCAGGAAGCCATGAAGCCTGAAACTGAAGCAGCTAGATGGAATTGAGGCGTCATTAATTACATTATGTGACACACTCATCAGTTTAAAAAGGCCTATTTTGTAACTGTGAAACCTACTTTCACCACCAGACGGCAGCAAATCGTTTCAAACTGTTCAGCATGAGCATCTTTCCACTGAACTGCAAGGCTACTTTGATGCTTGTTCCCAGATATTTTAAATAGTGTAATTGTAAATACATTGAATATCATTAAAGTTTCAATATCAGCTAGGAACAGTATATATGATTGCATCATTCACATTTGTACACTGAGGCTACACTGCACCGTAGCTTGCAGTAGTGTAGTTGATGCATCCTGATGGATTGGTGGTCATAGATGCAAAAATGCACGTGTTTAATATCTAGTATGTCGTAGCAATGTCCGTGGTTTGATTTTGGCTGGTTCATCTTTGTTGCATGTCATCGTCCTCTCCCTCTTCTGCATGTTTCTTGTTTGGCAGTTACGGTGAAAATTACAAAAATGAATCTAATCATAACATTGCCTGTTACGCTACCAAAATATTGAGAGACAAAGAGTTCATAATGGGAATATTTACTTTTAAAGTGAAAGAGAAAAACGTGTTAAAAACAAAAGGAAAACTGAATAAAAAGGAATATTTTGGCAGGTATAAATGTAATCATAAATTCTTCTTATTTTTCTCCTGGCCTGGCCTGGAATCACCACCTCCCAGCATGCACCGTACCAGCGGGCATCCATAGTGGTAATAGTGTGAGTGTGCCCCTGACGGTGTTTTCACACCTGTCAGAGCAGCCCTCAGACGCTGGCACGTTCCCACAACAGTCCTCTGGCACACTGCACACTGTTCTCCCCTCTTGGACTTAAATGAAAGGATTTGTTCTCTCCGCGCTCCTTTCGTAATGTCGTTCTTAGAGTTTGACCAACTAGTTTTTAAAGTCACTTATTGACAGGCTTGGGCAGTGCTCATTTGAATACCTGTTAAGTCAAAGAGGCCCCGCCGTGGTTCCACATTCCTGGAATATCTTGGTTCAGGCAGTTTCGTCACACTCCACAATACTTTTGGGGTAAAAATCAAGTATTTAAGCTGCATTCAGAGTGACATGAATCTTACAAGCTTGGCTGTCATACTCGAGTCCGCTATCGAGACAGTTTACCTCATTCTCTAGGTGTTTTGAATCTCAGCCTTGGTCATTGGGATCATTACTGTCTCAACTAATTCAGCTGTTTTTACCAAGTTAAAAATGTTACAGAATATTGAATGTTTTCTTACTTGAGCATACAAACTATGATCTGTTTGTCATAGAAGGTGGGACTTGATTATCTCATAGATTCATTCTTTCATTCTTAGAAGACATAACGTGCAACCCAGTCTGTCATTTCCAGTGGTATATTAAGCCTTTGGATTTGGAAGATCAACAGAATTTGTTTGCAAGTAACTGGAGCTTACGTCCCCTCTACTATAATTTAGTTACAGTGCCAACATGATATTGCCCTTGATTCATGCACACTTACTGTACAGGCCAAGGATAGCCTCACTTCTTTATTTATTCATACTTAGACGATAATGGGTGTTTTAGCCTTTCAGACTGATAATGAAATGGTCTTGTAGCAGAGATATAGTGATGCATTAAAAGCTCTACCCCCCTTAACATTTCATGAACTGTGAGAGCACTCTGCTGTGAAAAGAAAGTGTGCAAACGGGAGTCTATGCGCGCATGCCATGGTGTGCATTTGTGTTCACATTCGCACATTTTACTCGCCACTCAGCGTATGTTCATGTTTGCAGTAACTCGTGCCACAGAAAAGCCTCCACTCCCTGTGCTCTCCCCTCTACCCGGCCCTGTCCCCCATAGTGAGGGTAAAAATAGCACCCTGCTGCACAGAGACAGCCTTCTGTGTGTAGGAATCTGGAGATGTGGGGGAACACAGGAAATGGCTTTACTGCCAAAGCTCTTACTGCAGATATTTTTTAAACTGTCAACATGATGGGTTTGGGAATGGGAGTGGACAGAAGGGTGTGTTTGTGTGCGTGGGTGAGTGGGTGGGCGGTTGGGTGGGTGAGGGCACGCTTGTGTCTATGCATGTATGTGTGTGAGTGAGGGGGCTGTTTTTGGACTTCACGCTCCTCAAAGGGGCCCTATGTGCTGCTATCAGCCTCTGGGACTCTGGGATTGGCAGCGGAGCCCAGAAACAAAGCAGTTTGTTCATTTGCTGGAAGGCCAGTGAACAAGTGTCTCACTCAGAGTCCATGACCAATGGGTGGAGAGGGAAAGAGAGGGAAAGAGAGGGTTTAGGTATGTGCATAACTCAGCTGTATGGAATGGACAGATATTACAACACATTTAAATAATGTGCGTTGGCCACACTGCTGTTTTTTATATTATTTAAAGGCAGTTTATTTGGTTATCTTTGGCTTTAGCATTTCTCTTCTATCAAAAGCCTCTCTCGTCCTTGCTCTAAATTAATCTCATTAAGAAGGTGTCACCTCCTCCACAGTACAGGGTACACCGTGTACCCCTGGTCGGGTTGAAAAAGCACAATGTTCGTGTGAGTAGGCTGGAGGCAATGAAGGGTGGAGTAGGAGGATGAGGAACAGGAGTGTGTGTTGGGTTAGGTTCAGCACATTTCTCTGAGACCAGCATACATCAGTGCAAGGTTAAGTCCTTTAACCATGTTCATGTGTGTGTTTGTGTCCTTTAACTTGTGTGTTCAGGCTGCTGAGTGTGACTCCATGACCCTGCTGATGAAAAAGTTGGATGACCTCAATGAGGGCGTCCAGGAAGTCCAAAGCGCTGATTCGTCCCATTCAGACGTGGCCGATGCTGACGAGGAGCAGCAGAGCAGCACGGTAAGTCAAGTCAAGTCAAGTCAAGTCTGATTCATTTATGTGGTGCTTTAAACCGGCTTTGGATATGAATCGTGATAACAAATGAACCAAAGATGAAATGAATGAATGAACAGGCCAATCATAAAGGTGACGTGAGGAAGTTGTACATGGAGTCTGGAGAGACTTTCTGTTCAAGACAAGGGAATCGGAATAAGATAGTCTTTGCATGCATGTAGGTATATGTATTCATAAGTAATCACTACTATTATACATTTTTTAAATCATAACTTTATAAATCACATTAGAGTAACCTTTGAATTAGACTCAAAAATAGATTGTTTTGATTCGACGGCAGTGTTGCAGTAATATACCAATATAGTCAAAGTTCATAGATACTTGACATCACACCAATCGTGGCCACACACACACTCAAGTGTGAAGATTTACCACTGAGTCAACATACAGTGCACCACAAACATGTTGGGCCCACTTCGTAGAATGGGTTGCCAGGCTTGCAGTCTTTCCTCTATTTAATATGGGTTGAATAAATTAAGAATAATAGATTGGATGGTTGTTTTTGGATGGTTGTTTTTCCGCCATTGAAGCCTTTCCTAAATCACATTGTTTCTTACTCGTCTGGCCTCCATCTGGAAACAGCATCAATCCTCCAGGAACTACAGGTCCGGTATTCAGAGCTTAGCTCAGACCAGTTTACCGTTCTTTTAAAAGTTTATTTAAAATAATATCTGGAAGGAGACTGTAGCCAACTCCTGTGCCGTGCTCCTCTTGTTCTCTCACATTACATTCCAGCTGCCTCATTATGCTCACCAAGTGTAAATCTGGTAACCTCAAATAGCTCTTAAACCAACAGCACAGAACTTTAGGAATTCTTATAAAAAGGCTGCATTTAATCAAGCTAATCTTAATCAAACTGTCTGGCGAGCCAAACAGACACTTTTAGCTTTGTGTGTCATATTATCTGTCAAGTATTTTTACGTAGCACTAAAACTTTTATTTGCAGTGGGGATAGATTTTTTTTGCAGCAACCCATTAAGGTAAAATATGCAATACAACACAGTATTATGATCAATAAAAAGAAGAATCAATGATTATGTTCAGTTCAGCTGCCTGCCTTTAGTGGAAGAAGTGCAAAGAGACTATTTATCCCAAAAATGTCAAATATTTATAGGGTAATAAAGATGAAATGACCCCGGCCCAGAACGGTAATGCCAGAATTTATTATTTTTCTTTTATCAGGAAAAGGCATTCAGAGTTGGGCGCAGGGCAAAGTAATAAGGAATTAAGATTTGTTGGAATAAATAAATAACAGTTTGATAGTAACAACAACAATGACGTTTTTGTTAATGTAGGTCGAGGGCTTAATATATAAAAAACTGCAGAAATAACTGACTTCACTCCAATCAGTATTCTGTGACTGTAGTGTAATCAGACAATATCCTTTAATCACCATCCCTCCTAATTACATTAACTGTAAAAAAAAAAAGAAAAGCCCCTTATATTTTATAAATTCATTGTTGACCAAATAACAGGCAGCAACCTCCGGATCTGAAAAGTCAAGCCAATGCGGAAGTGCCTTAAACTGGCATTCTTTCAATAACCAGCAGGGGGCGACTCCTCTCGTTCTAAAAAGAAGTTTGATTGTATAGAGGTCTATGAGAAAATAACTATACTTCTCACTTGATTTATTACCTTAGTAAACATAAATGATGGTCTCAATTGCTAGTTTCAAGTTTTCTTCAATACAGCAGGATGTGTATTCGTAAATTATGGTTCAATTTAAAGTAAAATAGACGATGTGATTGACAAGTCGCTACCACGGCGTTGTCCGTGTGTGCATCTTACAACTTGTCTTATTCAGCATTCGGCTGTGTTTAGATGAGCATTGCGCTAGAGCGGAAGGTTCGCTACGTTACACAAGCTCTCTTTTAATCTGATAAATAAACAAAATAAACTCACAAAATGTCAAACTGGCTGCCATATCCTCCATGTTCTTCACACTTTAGACCTAGTACATAGAGATTCTGTTGAAAATTGGCAAATTGGAAATGCAGTCATTCCAAAATTAGACTGACTTTCAGTGTGAACTGCACTTTGTTTTGTGGATACAGTGTCCTTGATGTTGCTTTCTAACTGTGACCGCATAGCTAGAAAATTAGCAACGGCATCATGCTATTTCTATGCTGGAAATGCTCCACAGGGTCAGAAAGGGAATTTTCAACACAGACGAGCATTGTATGTTGTGATGAAAGGTGTCTCTCTGTTCATGCATTTGAAGATTGGATTCTTGCAACGCTGTTTACGGAAATGTGTGTCATTCCTCCTTCACTCACATTTTCACACACGTCCACATTATCAGCTCAGTGCTGGACGGGAGGGGAGAGCGGGAAGCCCAGCAGCGGATCTTCCCGCTGAAGTGGGTACAGTAGTTGAGTCACGAGGTCAAAGCAAGGACGGACTTTCCAGTGTTGTCACTGAGCGGAGATACAGAGGGTAGAGGATGGGCTGGGTAAAGGGGGGATTTTTCAGAAAGAGAGAAGGGCAGACGCATCATCAGCAGTGTCTTGTATCTTCAAACACCCCCCACCGACACCAGCTCCACTAAATACTCCTCAGAAACCAAACAGAGATACAGAGAGCTGCTGAAGAGGCAGGTGACCTGAAGACAGGGACTCGGGTAAGAGACTGGAGGAGACACGGCTACATAGAGACTGATATTAAAGGTGCTACGGCATCAACATCTTTGAGACATAACTGCAATTAACACGAACAAATAAACAATAAATGAGAAGAACGGGTAGCAGTTTCTTCCTGTCAGCATTAGGATGAAGAAGGAGAGTTTTTTTTCATATCGTGGAAAAATTCAAAATGCATATTATCTTTGGAGAGGAAGAAGAGTAAACAAAAACTGAAGGGGTTAACAGAATATGTTGTCACCTTGAGAAACACTAGCAGTAGGAATACCGTTTGTATGATTGACCGAGGTGATCATTTTACCAATTTCTAACTACTTACTAGTTGATGATGTTCTACTGAGGGCAAAATGGTGGCTGTGGATGTGTTAAAGACCTGATGTGGAAAAGAAATGGACCTTCTTTTATTTGACTGGCTTGCCTTATTCATAACTTCCATCAAACATTAGTTTTACCGCTGACAAAAACAACTCACAAAGTCCACTCAGCAGCTGTTCTTGAGCTTTTGACAACATGACATGATTTTCCTACGCAGTTGGAGTTTCCCAGGAGATGTTCAAATTTCCATTTATTCAGGGAACTTTAAGGATTTCACTTATTGGCTAGAGGATGGGCCTTTTGGGGAAATTGTATTTGTCAAAGACTGTACTTGGACTTGGACTAGAAATTCTTTCAGTGCACAGCAAAAATGGAAAATTTAACCCAATTATGAACACCAGGCAACTTCATCTCCTAAGATCATGTAATATGATCGAAAGCTCCAGAAAAGCTACTGAGAGGAACTTGTGGTGAGGTTGGTTTTGTCATCTGCTTCTTCCAAAAAGGTACTTTCAACCTGAATTAGCGTGATAGGGTCATGGGTCGGGCTAAAGAAGCACCTTTTCTTTGCCCCTCTCTGACTTCTCCTTCTCTGTCCTCACAGAGGGCTTCGGTTGTGGGCAGGACGGCGATTCGGGATAAGGGAACCGCCAGAGCTGCGGAGAAGCTTGAGCCACTGACCAGGCGGGGCTCCCGACCGTTGACCCGCAGCAGGCCGCTGACCCGCTCGTCGCTCTCGTCCCCTACACATCTCCATGCTCGACGGGTCAGGGTGAGCAGGACTGTGAGCTTCAGAGACACGTGTGATTGATATAAGTTGACCAGTTAACCATCTGAGAAAAGTCTATCAAACTCTATATTTGTAACATCTACTGTGTGAAACCGTCAGGCTCAGGCCTGGTTTGTGCTGCATAATTGGGACAGAGTCTGCTGAAACCAACAGTTTGATCTTTGCCCTGCTTTCTATATGCTTTGCCTTACACTGGTAACGTCTACCCAAAGCTCACTTTCGCTTTTGAAAAAAACTCAATTTGCTCTCTTCTGTTTCTCCTATCATCTCTCCTCCCTCTCTCTGGGCTTCTGTCCAGTCTGCATGTTACCCTGCTGTTGTGTAAATACTGTGAAAGTAAAAGGATGAGGCAGCTCTGCTCCATCCAGCAGTGTGCGAGGTCATCTTTCTCTGTGTCAGCACTGCGGCAACAACGAACCACAAATACACCACTGCTTAGCAGGCACAGCTGTCAGACAGATGAAGGGAGGTAAAGAGCAAGGAAATGGGTTTCATTTATATTTCATAATTGTTAATAACATAAATATAAAGGTCGACTGTTTAGTCTTGACAATGGAAATAGTAGTTTGACAAACAATGCCAATGCAAGGTCCACTTACTAGCTTTTCTTGGAGCTTTCAACCACATCACCTGGTCTTCATCAGTGGAGGGATTTTACTCTGTTGTCATGGATGTTGATCTGTTAGTTAGCATACACTATGCTTTCAACATTTATGTGAAAGAAAGAAATCTGACAAAATGTCAGTTTATATCCCAGTTTTACCAAGATGTCTTTAAATCTTTTAAACAGCAAAAAGACAAAAATAACAAATCATTGCTCACATAGGTGTTCACAAAAGATGGCATGCCTCTGCAGAATACATTGGTACATGCATCTGGTCAGAGTGCAGTCAATCCTGAAGTGTCAAAATGATTAGGTGTGTGTGTGTGTGTGTGTGTGTGTGTGTGTGTGTGTATATATATATATATATATGCATGTGTGTCCGTGCATGTGAGTGTCTGTGTTATATGTGAAAGTGTAGGTTGGTAGAGATAGCATCAGGACCCGTGGGATCAGACTGATGCTAAGGAGTGGGTTTATTTTCCCCCAACTGTGACTGATAAAGCACAGCTGTCCAAACTGACACAGACACACGCACACACACACACACACACACACACACACACACACACACACACACAC